ATGATTCAAAGTATTATCCATCGCTGGCCACTACTTTCTCCCATCTTTCGAGCAGCGTACGAATCCCACATCAAAAAAACTGGTCATCTTTTGAGGCGATCCACGAATCGATCCAATTTCTTACTTCTTCATAAGACCGGAAGTGCTGGTCAGCCAGGCCGTGTGCCTTTGATCGAATCAAGTGATAGTTAGAGGGAGCAACGTCTGGAGAATACGGCGGGTGGGGTAGGATTTCCAATTTCAACGTTTCCAAGTATGTCTTGACCACTTTCACAACATGGGGTCGAGCATTGTCATGCTGCAAAATCACTTTATCGTGTCTCTCGTTGTATTGCGGCCGTTTGTCTTTCAATGCTCGGCTCAAATGCATCAATTGCATTTGATACCGATCGCCTGTAATTGTTTTAACAACTCATAATACACTACTCCAAGCTGGTCCCAACAAATACAGAGCATGACCCTGCAGCCGTGTACATTCGGTTTGGCCGTCGACGTAGAAGTATGGCTGGGAACTCCCCATGATTTTCTGCGCTTGGCGTTATCATAATGAACCCATTTTTCGTCCCCAGTCACAATGCGATGCAGAAATCCCTTCCATCTTCGCCTTTCAAGCAGCTGTTCACAAGCAAACAAACGTCGTTCAACATCTCTCGGCTTCAACTCGTACGGCACCCAATTTCCTTGCTTCTGAATTATTTCCATGGCTTTGAGGCGTTTTGAAATGGCTTGTTGAGTCACTCCCAATGATCGTGCAAATTCTTTTTGATTTTGACACGAGTCTTGATCAAGTAATGCCTCCAATTCTGCATCTTCGAAAATCTTCTCTCTTCCACCGCTATGCCGGTCTTCGATGTCAAAATCACCATTCTTGAAGCGTTAAAACCACTCACGACACGTTCTTGCACTAATAGCGGCCTCACCATAAGTATTTGAGAGCATTCGATGAGCCGCAGATTTCTTCATATTGAAGCAGAAAATTAAAACCTCCCGCAACTGACGAGAATTTGGCTCGTAAACTGACATTTTCAGTCGAGAATAACTTTATGATGCAGACACAAATCGACTAATGTTTCTACAGGTATGTAAATATGAAACCGGAATTTACCAATAGATGGCCACAGCTGTCAATGTAGTTGCCGTCAGACCGCATCATTGACGCCATTTCCTTGTTCTGACATCTGACAAAAATTTTCAACTCACAACAATACAAGTTTCATACAACAGTATAGTTTGTAATAGCGTTGAACATGACGAAATTTTGGGCCTGGAAACTACGATTTGCGGGCAGCATTGATTTTCTGTTACCATTTGAAGAAAACTGCTGCAGAATTGCATCGAATGCTTATCGAAGCTTACGGTGAGCATGCTCTTGGTAAATCACAGTGCTTTGAGTGGTTTAAAAAATTCAAAAGTGGCAATTTTGACGT